TGCGAATCGGTATTCCGGCCATCTCCCTGGCCGTTGAAACGAACTCGTCGTCGATTAGAGGTACGGCGGATCGATTGGCCAAACACGATTACGGCTGAAACGTTGTCGCGGCGAATCGCGTCGCCCGGCAATTTTCGCGATCGACGAAGCAAAGTGGAAGGAAACGCGAAACGGCTCGATATCGAATAGAAAAGGAACGATTGGCCGCCTTTTTGCTCTTCCCGTCTTGTCGTCGAGGGAATCATTTTTTTCCTTCCTTTGTCAGCGAAGATCGTCGGTTTTGCGTTACTTATCTCGTCAAAGAAACGCGAGGTGCGGATAATCCGCGTCCAACAAATCGCGACTGTCCCGGGAGACGTCGGTCGTTCTTTTTAGAACCGTAACTTTATCGCGGAAAAAGGAACCGCCGCATCGCGTCTCGGAAGGGAAAAAGTAGCGACTACTTCGAGAGCGAGCGAGAGAGCGCGAGCGAAGGGGGTTGGTGTTTGCGCCCGGTAGAGCTCCCGTAGAAATAGTAGAATAAAGCCATCGGGGTCAGACGCGTCGAGCGACGAGGACAAAGTTACCGAGCAACGAACGCTTTAATTCCAAAGAAATAAATTGCAATTTTTCCAGCTGCGCGAAATCGTCGTGGTCGCGCGAGCCCGCCTATCTCGCGTTCGCGTTAAAAATCCCGGAATTCAATTAAACGCGGTCACGAACAACAGATCCGAATTGAAATCTTGAAATCTCATATTCGACCGTATCCGGCGCCGGCCATCGAGGCTGATCTCTGCCGACTATTCGTTTCCGGGAATTTCGCGAGTTTTTACCATCGCGGGAAACCGTCTTCCCGAATTTTTCGCGCGCGTTCGACCACCGTTTCGTTTTTTTTTCCGGAGCCGCGAGACATCGATCGAAAATTCGTTGACCCGCGCGAAAAGGAGCAGGTCATCTATTTCCAGCCGAATCCGGTCATGCTAAAAATCGTGATCCCCGTCGGTCCGATATTTATATCCCTCAATTATACGGCATATTCTGTCTTATTTCGCGACAACTTTTCGTCTCGGAATATCACGAATCGAGAGAGGCGAACGATCGCGACCGGGTGGCGAGCAATAACACTCAAACGCCAATGACGGTTCTTCGGCATATAAATTCAATTTCACGGTTCACCGAAGGACGGCGGAAAATTTTCATTATTTAATCCGCGCGAACGGGGGATTCTATTTCCCATTGTTGGCGCATTGTGCCCGTACAAACGAGTAGAAAACGCGGCGAATCTTTCGGAACGCGAGCCGGCTGCTTCCTCGTCGATACGCGAATGTCACGGTGGGAGAACTAAAACCCATTTAAATTAATATTTGCCCTGTTCCTCGATCGTGGAGTCTCTCGATCCGACCGATCGACCTCCGATCTCGATACACGCTAAAACGATCCGCGCAATTATTTACCATAATCCTCACGGTTTCTCCTTTTCCCCGCGAGTCGATTGAAATTTATCGCGCGTAGGCCGAAGCAACGCGTTCGCGATCGATGTCCGACCAAAATGGCATCCGCGCCGCGCCCGATTCGCGATTTCCACCTGCACACGCTTTGATCGCTCGAAAGTTTGCCGAACGAGTCCCGCAATCTCGAAAATGTTGACCGTGCGATTCGGCCCTTCTCGATTTCAACCTTCGACCGGCATTTCACCGTCGAAAAGTTTGCGGCGTATCGGCAGTTTGCGGACAGTTTTTGCCGCGCGCTTTACGATCCGAACAAAAGTTTGGAATTAAATAGCAGACCGGATCGATTCGAGCGAAAAATCTGTACGGCACCGCGTTCTCCTCGCAGGGCAAGTAGAACGTCGCGAAGACCGATGCAGCCCGATCGATTCCGTAATACGTTCGGCAGTAGGTAACGCGTAATTTTATTCAAATCTCATGCAGATTGCTCCGTTATCGGCTACTTTTTCAATTACGTCGCGGCAGGCTATAAAGCGTAATAGAGGCGAGCTCGCCGCGGGCGAAACTTTTTCTCCGGTTTTGCCCGCTCGACTTCGCTTCGCCTCCGCTCACCGAGTCTACGCCAAACCGGTATAAAGTTTAAGTATGAGATACGACCTGGTCCGTATATTCTGTCTTATTTCGCGACAACTTTTCGTCTCGGAATATCACGAATCGAGAGAGGCGAACGATCGCGACCGGGTGGCGAGCAATAACACTCAAACGCCAATGACGGTTCTTCGGCATATAAATTCAATTTCACGGTTCACCGAAGGACGGCGGAAAATTTTCATTATTTAATCCGCGCGAACGGGGGATTCTATTTCCCATTGTTGGCGCATTGTGCCCGTACAAACGAGTAGAAAACGCGGCGAATCTTTCGGAACGCGAGCCGGCTGCTTCCTCGTCGATACGCGAATGTCACGGTGGGAGAACTAAAACCCATTTAAATTAATATTTGCCCTGTTCCTCGATCGTGGAGTCTCTCGATCCGACCGATCGACCTCCGATCTCGATACACGCTAAAACGATCCGCGCAATTATTTACCATAATCCTCACGGTTTCTCCTTTTCCCCGCGAGTCGATTGAAATTTATCGCGCGTAGGCCGAAGCAACGCGTTCGCGATCGATGTCCGACCAAAATGGCATCCGCGCCGCGCCCGATTCGCGATTTCCACCTGCACACGCTTTGATCGCTCGAAAGTTTGCCGAACGAGTCCCGCAATCTCGAAAATGTTGACCGTGCGATTCGGCCCTTCTCGATTTCAACCTTCGACCGGCATTTCACCGTCGAAAAGTTTGCGGCGTATCGGCAGTTTGCGGACAGTTTTTGCCGCGCGCTTTACGATCCGAACAAAAGTTTGGAATTAAATAGCAGACCGGATCGATTCGAGCGAAAAATCTGTACGGCACCGCGTTCTCCTCGCAGGGCAAGTAGAACGTCGCGAAGACCGATGCAGCCCGATCGATTCCGTAATACGTTCGGCAGTAGGTAACGCGTAATTTTATTCAAATCTCATGCAGATTGCTCCGTTATCGGCTACTTTTTCAATTACGTCGCGGCAGGCTATAAAGCGTAATAGAGGCGAGCTCGCCGCGGGCGAAACTTTTTCTCCGGTTTTGCCCGCTCGACTTCGCTTCGCCTCCGCTCACCGAGTCTACGCCAAACCGGTATAAAGTTTAAGTATGAGATACGACCTGGTCCGTTTTTATACGGACCACGATCGCCGATCCTTCGTTATTACGAACTTTCGGGGAAAATAACCGTCCGATCTTTATCCTAATTTTGCATGCGCTCGATTCGCGTAACGAGCGACCCGCGAGCATCCGAGAAGGATCTTCGAAAACGGTTCGCCATTCGTTTCTCGGTGAAGCCGAGTCCCGACGTGCCTCGAGTATCGCGATCTAATTTTCTCCGGCGTTTATTCTTTGCGTACGTTCGTTGACGCGGTTGCTCTTTCGTTTCCCGTTCTTGGTAAGCGGAGAACGCGTTGGCACGCGCCCGAAATTTTTTCTTTTCTAAACGTTCGCCGCGAGATATTAATGCCATTAACGAGGTCGCGGTAAAACCCTCGCGCAATTTCTTCCACGTAGCTCCGAGAATTACCGAAACGCTTTACCTTCCTCGAATTAAGTCGACCTAATCTTGCAAACTCCCTCCCGTGGTTTTTCTTTTTTTCTGATCGCGTTTCAAACTGTGCGCTGTCCGATTGCGCGAGATCGGATGAAAAGCGAGCGGATAACGCAGCGTAGCGTGACTGTAATTCGCGAATCGCGCGTTTCCGAACTTCGAATTGATCCGTCGATATCGGTCTTGGTCAAAAGGAAGAACAAAAAGGCAGAAGCCGGGCGGCCGTTGATCGGAGACACCCTTTCAACGCTGAAATCGGGTATTTCAATCGGATGAGCGTGACACAGCAGGTGCTTTCGATGTAGTTCACTCTAAATAAACGTACACGCGAAAAGTGTTTTGAAGCGACGCGAAAGAATTTCATGAAATTCGTTTCACTCTCGATGACGGGTCGTTATCCCGTTTCAATCAGCATCCGTTTCGTTTGAAATATTTAAAAATCCATCCATCGTCGCGTGTGCCGCGAGCAGCTCCGATTAATGCACCAGTTACGAACTATTTCGGTATGATAATCGTCGCGCGTCCAGCCACAATGCGACCCCACCGGATAGCAATAATCTCGAACGAGCGATTCGATCAAAAATTATCGACGGTTCGCCGATGGAATAATATTTACCTTAAATTGCGTTCCACCGTTCCCGTGCTTCGCAGTTTTCGTGCACGGCCGATAGATTAGCGGGTTCGTCCCCGTTCGAATTTTCGACCGTTCTCTCTTCGCTCTCCCTCCGCTCGTTCGGGTATTCGCTTTGCGGGTTAATCTTCCGTTTTGCGATCGAGCGACGATTATTTTTTTTTTACCCCGCGGCGGAGGACCGTGAAGATAAATTGATTCGCGCCGAAAGTCTTCCTTTCCCCGATTCCACGACGATGGAATTTGTTTTCGACTGGAAATTCGGCACCGCTTTAAGAAGCGAAAGAGCAGAATGGTTTCCGGCGGGATCGCCGGTCCATGGAAGAGTGGCCATAAACGATCCGTGCGATCTCAAACTTTCGAGACCAATTTAATACTTGGCCGGTAGTCTCGCTCCAAATAGCACGACTCTTGGTCCGGTCCTTTTGTTTCCGGTAGAACGGTGTTGCTATAGCTGGGATGGACCAGAAGAAACTACCTCGACAAAGGATCGCGCTGCCTCTATCCATCTTGGAACCACTATCTCTGCCAGCGGGTAAAAGCGCCAGCTCGGAATCTTCGCGTTAACTAGTCCGTCGTGTCTATTTTTTTCGATTCCAACTAAATCCGAGCTGGTACGAACCAGTTTCGCGATCTGAAACGATGTCCACGTGTTCGATTGACCACCGTCTCTAATACACTTAGAGCAACTTTCCAATATTTACGACGGTGGTTATCGGAAAAGGTGAACGCGAGTCTAATCCAAGGTTTGCTTCCATTTTGTGTTCGCAGGTCCACCGACGATCCTTGTGAGGCCACAATCGCAGCAGGTGAAGGCTGGCGGAATAGCGAGTTTCTACTGCACGGCAGAGGGAGCACCACCGCCTCAGATTCACTGGAGGAAGAACGGAAAGAGAGTTTCCCGTAAGTTTTTGCTCCTCGCCTTTTCATTTTACCGTACCCTCGGTTTCGAAACTTTTCACCGGCCATCTTTGCCTGCGCGCATCCCTCTTTCGTGCAACGCGAACGACGGAGATGGAAATCGTACCGAAATTACCGCTACTTTTCGACTTTCCTCTCGTTTTAGTCTTCGTTTCCGGTTCTACTTACTCGATTACGCCGCGTTTTCGTTCCCTCCCGTTTCGTTCGGTTTCCTTTCGTCCCGGTCGCTTTTTCACCCGCTCCTTTCTTCGCAACTAAATTTCTCGTTGCTCCGAGCCGGAAGTGCCGGCTGTTGCCGCTAGCACCGGGGACTCGGTCCGGTTTCGAGAGTTACCGAAACTAGCTAGATTGCCAACACTCCGGGCTTGTTCGCGATACTTGCCAAAGTAGTCGTAGCAATTCTCTTTGCCTCTCTCTCCGTTTCTCCTCTTGTATTCCGAGAAGATTCAGTGATCGTTGCTGATTCTCGTCGAGTTCGCGTGTTGGTTGGGTATCCGATTTTTGAGAAGTCCTATCGCGTGAATTTCGGCGTTAATCGAGTCGATGGGCGAGCTCGAATCACGGCCGGCCGCGAGTTCGTCCACTCGGAATCGAAATCTATTCGGAGAGAGAGCGTACGACGCGGTGGCCCGATTAACCGTTCGAAGGTTTCAGCGCGGCGAAAAATCGCGCCGGTTTACGCCGAGCGGTCGCGCGTTATCCCCGTTGCGATTGTCTCCGATTTGGAGCCGGTTCGCAACGCCGGAACTCGTTAATCCAGCGAAACGGCGATAACGACGCGACAAAGTTCGCGAGAGCCGCGATACCGAAGTTTGGCCAGTATAGATTCCTTTTTATCGGATTCCCTCGACACCCGAAGCTCGTAGTTCTCTCGAGTCGTGGAATACGGGAACACCCGTCGATCGTTCTTTCCGACGTCTATCTTCTGGCCCTCTCTCGCGATTTTATTTTTCCACCTGCCCCTCAATCTTTCGTGTTATGCCGCAGAGACGCAGTCACGGTACCTGGTGCATAACTATGAAAACGGAGCTTTACTACGGATCGAACCTGTCAAGTCGATTCGCGACAACACCCTGTACGAGTGTGTGGCCGAGAATGGAGTCGGCGACGCCGTGTCGGCCGAGGCGCAGCTGAAAGTCTACGAAGGTATGTACCAAACGTTTCAAGAATTTATCTCGATCTCGACGTTATCGTCCGATAGCTATTAGCGCTATCGAGCGAAACGGCATAGACGAAATTTAATATTTAACGATAGTAAGTAGCTGCCGCGACAGCTGCTACCTCGCGTAACGAACGTCGTAGATCGGCCGAAAGCGGGCGGAGTTTGCGCCGCGGATAACCGATTCGAGAGACGACAGGGAAAAACGGCTCCTGTCGCCGCCTCGGAGTCAAAGGAAAAAAGAAACGATCGAAAAATCCGCGAACGACGCGGCAGGATAACGAGCTAAATTTTGTTGAAATTAAACGAAGCCTTTCTTCTTTCGCGCTCCGATCCGGCAGAGCGATCTCTTTTTCTCTTTCTATTTATACGGAAGAGCGAACAGCTTAATGGCGCCCAGTTCGGCGACCAGGCGGAAGGCGACGTAATAGAAGAAAGGAAAGAAAAAAAAATGAAGAAGAAACGACCGCCCGTGCACTCGGAAAGCTTACCCTTTTCCGGGAAGAATCTCTTAAACTTCCGCGAAACGCCTTAATTGGCTTGGCCAGCTTTTTAATTCGATTCCAACTTTGCCTCACGGATATTTTTGCTCGCAATTTCTCGTATTCTTCCTCCACAAAAAGAGAAAGAACCTTCCATTTTGAAGCTTCTCGTTCGCCTCTTCTCTCTCTCCGGCTTTTCCTCTTCGCGTTCCTCGTTCGCTCGGCATCGCAACCGCTCCTGTTTGCATCGTTGCAGTTCGACGCACGAAATTCATCGGGATTTCCTTCTTTTACCTCCCGGTTGTTCGTTCTTTTTCCCCCCCGAGCCCCGATTGCCGACTATCTCGTGTCAGTGGCGTTGCCATCCGGCGCCATCCAGTTCCTCGTAAATCACGGATATTCGCTCTCGAATCTCTGAAATTCGCCCGTGATTTCAATTTATTTGTTATAATGTTGATTCAGTCAGGTGATCGGTTTCCCACAGGTGCAATAATACGCGTTTCCCAGCCGTCGGGCAAATTTCTTCGTCCTCTTCTCCTACCCTCGTTCGTTCGCCACTTTCCCTCCTCGTAGACGGACGATTTCGTTTCTTTCTCGTCTCCCAGGATCGCGCGATCTCCTGAAAATAATTAACGCCTCGAGACTCGTGATTCGCGTATCGATTTTTCATCGACCAATAATCCTCGGAACGGTAGGATTTTTCCGCTTACGCGTCGTTTCCGAGGAAAATTCTACTTGGAGCGGTGGGAGACGATCTTGTCGAGTGGACAAAAGTTCCTTAATTAAACGCGGGTCCAACTTTTCGACGTATGGGTCTGCTCGCTCCGATATAAATCCAAGTTTCGCTAACGAAGGGTATCCACAAAAGCCGGTACGGTTATCCGGAAAGGGATAAGCGACAAACTAAATCGAGAAGCTCGCAAACGAAGCATTTTTTTTTCTCCTCCTCCTCGAGAAGTCGCGCGCGATTAATCACCGAGCCGTGCAGTACCGCGCGAAGAACCAGCGTTTTTTCACGGGCTTTTTCAGTTGCCTCGCCCGCGCCAGATCCACGGCCGTGTTTTTGTTTTTGTTCGCGAAACCTACTCGCGCCGAGCGAAGAGTTTAAAAGTTGAACGAATTTTTCTCCACCGGTCGGATAAGCGGAGCATTTAATTCGAGCGGTTGAAAAATACGCGTCTGGAGAGTCTCGGACTCGGTGGTGGTAGCGTAGGCAGCCGCGAGTATAGTTGCTTTAGGAAATAGAGTCGGCGGCTTAATGGGCCCGCTCGAATATTTCGCCGTCCGGCCGAACGTTAGCCATACGCGTCTCGTTATCGAACGCATCGCCGCGATAAATACCTGCGAGCTCGTAACGAGCCTGCATTCGGCTAATGCGATTACTTGAAGCATGTAATGATGCAATAACGTAACAACGTAACATCGGTAAATGCGGTTAAAATTACACGGTGGAGCGGCGAAACAATCGATAACTATGGCGGTCAAGAGTGAACGAGAACGAGTACGCGACACACACGATCCACAGAAATCTTTCGCGCGAACTTTCGGAGGACGAGCGTTCGCGATAAAGACCACGCTTCTCGAGACGGCTGCCTCGTACGTGCTTCGTAAGTTCGTTGCGTTCGAGAAATCGTTTTCGCGGCTGGAAATATCCGGGGGAATCCAGTATTTTCGCGGGTAGTATCGTAAAACTTTACGCCAGAAAGTACAGGATACCGTGGACGGTAAAGATTTCCTTGAACGAAGATAGCATCGGTGCTCCGGCGGTTTGCGTCGAGCACGGACGAGATCAGATAACGATATCGGTACCTCGTTGGAATACTAATTTCCTTGTTCGCGAGGATATTCGGCGTGGGAGTTGTCCACCGGGAGAAAAATCTTCCGATCCGTTATCGCGAGCGGTTTGTTCGAGAGAGTCCCGTTTCAGTTTGATAATCGACGTTCTTTACCGTCCAACGAGACGAACGCCATTATCGGAAATCTCGTTAGTTTGCCGGTTCGCAGAGACGGGGATCGTCAAAACGGGACGTTGGAAAGAGTTTCCGACCGTCGTATCGAATAAATTTTGAATCGGAAGTTGTCCCTTTCGCGGAGCGCATCGTTTCGTCGGATGCGACGTCGCGTCGGTCTCTCCTCTCCTGCATAAAGGGCATATAGTCCTTACCGTAGCATTAGCCTAATTTCGAGTCCCGCAGCAGGCGGAAATTAAATTTGCAGCAGAGCTAAGTGGCATCTTCGGTTCCCGTTGCCTCGCACGGCGAACTACCTACTTCGAGTTACGCCCAACATCGAAACGGCAAAACTTTGTTGCCGAGTCTGCCGTTCGTGAAATTCCCACGAAATAATTCTTTCGACCCCGGCCGTTTTTCGAGCGTACGGCCAAACGAAAAATTCCAGAAGCTATTTCGAGGACGACTCGTTCCGCGAGCGTCGTATCGAGTGCTCGATTAACGAGTCCGAACGTGCTTTTTCCTTCCACGGACTTACCTCCTCGAAATGATGCAATAACGTAACAACGTAACATCGGTAAATGCGGTTAAAATTACACGGTGGAGCGGCGAAACAATCGATAACTATGGCGGTCAAGAGTGAACGAGAACGAGTACGCGACACACACGATCCACAGAAATCTTTCGCGCGAACTTTCGGAGGACGAGCGTTCGCGATAAAGACCACGCTTCTCGAGACGGCTGCCTCGTACGTGCTTCGTAAGTTCGTTGCGTTCGAGAAATCGTTTTCGCGGCTGGAAATATCCGGGGGAATCCAGTATTTTCGCGGGTAGTATCGTAAAACTTTACGCCAGAAAGTACAGGATACCGTGGACGGTAAAGATTTCCTTGAACGAAGATAGCATCGGTGCTCCGGCGGTTTGCGTCGAGCACGGACGAGATCAGATAACGATATCGGTACCTCGTTGGAATACTAATTTCCTTGTTCGCGAGGATATTCGGCGTGGGAGTTGTCCACCGGGAGAAAAATCTTCCGATCCGTTATCGCGAGCGGTTTGTTCGAGAGAGTCCCGTTTCAGTTTGATAATCGACGTTCTTTACCGTCCAACGAGACGAACGCCATTATCGGAAATCTCGTTAGTTTGCCGGTTCGCAGAGACGGGGATCGTCAAAACGGGACGTTGGAAAGAGTTTCCGACCGTCGTATCGAATAAATTTTGAATCGGAAGTTGTCCCTTTCGCGGAGCGCATCGTTTCGTCGGATGCGACGTCGCGTCGGTCTCTCCTCTCCTGCATAAAGGGCATATAGTCCTTACCGTAGCATTAGCCTAATTTCGAGTCCCGCAGCAGGCGGAAATTAAATTTGCAGCAGAGCTAAGTGGCATCTTCGGTTCCCGTTGCCTCGCACGGCGAACTACCTACTTCGAGTTACGCCCAACATCGAAACGGCAAAACTTTGTTGCCGAGTCTGCCGTTCGTGAAATTCCCACGAAATAATTCTTTCGACCCCGGCCGTTTTTCGAGCGTACGGCCAAACGAAAAATTCCAGAAGCTATTTCGAGGACGACTCGTTCCGCGAGCGTCGTATCGAGTGCTCGATTAACGAGTCCGAACGTGCTTTTTCCTTCCACGGACTTACCTCCTCGAATCGTCCGCGACTTTCTTCTCGAACTAGCGATGAAAAGAAAGCGGGACTCCCCCTTTTCCCGTCTATCCTCCAAGGAGATCGAACGCGAAACTTTGCTCGAGTCAAAGGTTTTAACGCGAAGCTCGACCAAAGCTGCGCGGAAAAACGAATCTTTGAAAGTCCGACGAGGGGGCGGACCGCGTCTTCGGAACTCGATCTCGTTCGGAGCTTCTCGAGTGGTCTCGAGAAGGACGATCGAACGTTCCGCTTCGCGATTCTAATTAGCGTTTAACGTTTCGAAGCATTGCGACGGCGGCCGCGGTGGCCACGGAACAGGGAAATTCTTTGAAGGCCGAGGAGAAGCAACGGAGAAGCCCGGAGGCGCGGAACGGTCAATATTTACTCCCTTCGAGGGAAAAAGGAAGAGAATCAACGGGATTTGCGCTTCCAGCAAGAGACTCTTTTGTCGTTTGCCGGGCCTGTTCTCTTTTCCACACCGGTTGCTTCGTTTGTCCTCGTGGATTTCTTTGTTCCCGTCTTCTTAAACGGATAAGGAAAGTGTTTGCTAGGCTACGATTCGTTTCGCGCTTTCTGTCACGATCGAGTTCGAAAACGAGCCGGTATCGCACTTTGTCGAGAAATTTTCCGACCACCAAACGGCCGTATCCGTGCGGGATCGATATTAATTCTTCCGATCGTTCCACCCTCGATGAACTCCTCGATGGCCTTGCCGCATCGGAGCACCCTACCGAATCCGACCATCTTTCGAAATTTCTGCCGGTGATCGACCTCGAGCTTAATTTCGTCGGCAAGATCGAAATAACGAGAAGCGAGCAGCTCGTTCGGAATAGACGTTGAAAATCCCGAAGGAGAAGATAATGGATAAAAAAGGAGAACGTCGAGAGACCGAGAGGATTAACGAAACGCGC